CTACATTCTACCGTTCTTCCCAAAACGATAGGTTGTTATAATTTTCAAAACTGAACAGGCTGAGTCGCACAGTAAAGGTTGAGAATTTCTTCTAACAATAAAGAGCACTGATAAGATAAGGTTCCAAACAATTCCTTCACGTGCGCGTTGCTAACAATGAGGTGAACAAAATTGATGAATAACGTTTTCGTTCTTCATTGCTAACAATTCAGTATGGTGTGCACCATTTTCCAGTTAACTTTCAAAAAAAGCTTTAACATATGAGAAGAATATTTCTTCAAACGCATGTTCATACTGCATTAGAATCAACTAAAGACAAAAAAAAAAACACTCCATGCTCTTTGCTCTAAACACTCTTACTAAGACAAAAAAAGAGAAATAAGTGAAAGACGCTTTTGTAATGATACACATTCGTCACCAGGACTACAATGGGCTTCATACGAAACACTTACTATACACAAGATCGTTGAGCGTTGTGGGCGACTAATACAAAAGATTCCGACCAGAAAAGGCCTCTAAAAAGAGCACCAATGCTAATGAGCGCTTCGTGGTCGCGTCGGATAATGTGTGACTGCTCCAGCGATGGCTTCAAGCCACGCGTTCATGTCTTCAGAGCTTGACGCACAGATTCGATATACGCTATGCCGACCTTCGACCAGCTTACCCGTTTGTTCCGTTTTACACGCTTTTATACGTCCATCTTCCGATAATGAGAATATCTAAAGACAATGTTCTTAAAATATGAAATTTGTAATGCCAGATGCCAGATGCTCACCAGGCGTTAGCTGAGACCATTCTATTTTCTAATAAAGATAATCAAATTTTCGTTGACAGTTCTAATTTTAAAAAATATTAGGTTTTGGGACAGACCAAAGCTCCGCCTGCGTTTTTTTTTTACAAAAATTTGGAAACAAAAGAGCTTGCGAGAAAAACTTCGAGCAGATGCTCGCACCACACCAATAAGAGAAATTTAGAAATTTAGAAAAACCAATCAAAGACTCAAATTCGAAAATGAAACAACGCGCAAAATTCGGATGGGTTGGAAGAGAGTTTTAGCTAAAAGGACTAATTAGCTGACTTCGAACATGAACGGACGAGACGCATTTTCCACTCGTCGTACTCCTACGTTTTGTAGCGGAATGATTCCCCGCGGTTCTTTGTCGCCTGTCTGGTCGAAGTAGTACAAACAGGAGTCGCTAAGGACAAACCTAAATGAATGATGTAGGTACCAAAAATCACATTCTGAACAAGAAAGTATTCATATTAGCCATTGTAAAAATGATAGCTTCGTTTAAATGATGGTTGTACCACACCTCTTGAGGTTTGAGCCAAACCTAATAAACCGAATTGGAATAAAGGCAAGAACAAGTAAAATTAGTAGTTTTGCTCAACATATCAATTTCAAGAAGTGACATAAATCAAAAATTGAAGTGAAATAGAGAGTAACCTAAAGACTGACTAAAACCACCAACCATCTCCTCTTCCACGACAGTGGTCCAGATATGAATTGGCTGCTGCTTTGCTTATACAGCCAACCTTCACGATCGGGATGCAGGAAAATATTGTCTAACCGCGCTGCATCATCGCATGGGATTTTGAACTCTCGAGTGCGTATAGAGTCAAATATTTGTGCTAGTATTGCTGTACTAACCGATCCAGCATCAAGTAGTTCCTAAAAAAAAACTGAAAGCAGTCAACAAAAGCAAAAATAACCTATTACCTTATTCATATTCTGATAACGTTCAAACGTTGGTCGATCCTTCACATTTGGATTATGCAACAAGGTGTTGAGCATTATGCATGAGTAAGCAATTGTGAAGCAGGTGTCTGCAGTATCAAAAACGCCTAAAATGGTCGCAAAATTACTGAGCTGAATCAATAGTTAAGCAAAAGGATTCTCTCTCAACGATTTTCCTTTAGAAAGCCCATAAATTATCCAAATATCCAACAACGAGATAAGCCTCAACACTCTTCATAAGTTCTACACTTAGTCGCGTTCTTGTTATTAATAGATAATAAAAGGAAATTGAGATAAAAACACTACCTTCATTAGTCGCCACGTACTGTTGCGCG